TATAGCGAATAAACTGTGATAATTATGAGAAATGTTGAAGGTGTCTGAATAAATTTTGGTTTGACTGTATCTATTTGATAAATATTATACATTTATACATTATATATTAGACATTATACATACTCTTTTGGTTTCTGTACCCAATATTTAAAAAATTTACAAATGCAATCAAAATATTGGTATCGGTACTCGGTATCGGCAAGTACCAAAAATAAAAGTATCGGTATCGGGCGAGTACTGGAAAAAGTGGTATCGGTGCATCCCTACCGTTCAAATGTTTGAATTGTTCAAATAACTGTTTTCTGTTTGCCATTACTATGTAATTTATTCATATGATAACAAAGCTGAAGAAATATTCAAGAAATATTTCTTATTAATATCAATGTTGAAAGCAGATGTGCTGCTTCATATTTTTATGCCTTTAATTACCGTTCTATATTAATGCGCTGCTTACTGACACACACACACACACATCAGATATCACACAGCTCACACATCCAGGCGCAAAGACACGCTGCACCACGACTTTTATTGCAGCCATGTTGCCGCTGAAGCCGGTTTACGCTGAGATAATTCATACCACTTCGTTTGAAGTGTGGTCCTGAAAAATCTTCGTTTGAAGGGCTATCTGGCCATTCCCCTTACCCCTACCCCTCCAATCAAAAGAGAATCGAGACACCCCTACCCCTTCACGTGAACGGAAAGGGGAAGGGCTAAGGGGTAGAATTGGGATTGGGCCTAACTCTTTATATACTGAAGCCTCTGTTATTTTTCAAACAGATGAATTGATGGGTTGTGTCACTGCCCTCTGGTGGTTCTTATAAAAGCTTTCATAATTACTACCTAGTAATATGTCAAGGTTGATATCGGGCAATTTGCGATCATTAATTTTTCACTCACGTCTTATGCATCTTTTTATACTAAAGCAGGCAGATACTTGGACAGCACATCATCAGGGTCTTCATCCAGATCTCAAAGTCCTCTGTTGCTTAGTCCTGCTGGCTCTCAGAGTAACTACAACAACACAGGACCCTTGCTACGCTCCCTAAGGTAAAACAATGGAAAACAATGATTTAGTTGTGTTTACTTTCTGAATTGTTTAACTATTTTGATCAACAGTTCATTCTAGTAATACAGAGTTTGTGTGTGTATTTTTGGTTTCAGTCACCCAGGTGAAGGTGTGATTCAGCTGATATCAGTCGCTCACTCCTGCAGTCTGGGTATTACCATCGGCGGTGGCTCCAACAGACCTGATGGCCCTGCAGTTTTTATCCAGGAAGTGCTGTCTGGAGGAGATTGTCATCGGGTGAGAGAGTGGGACTCTTTAATGAGCTGTGTGCGCATGTATTTGTGCATAATCTGGGTATACGTGTTTTCACACAGAAGCCATGCCCCCTGATTGAGAACCATTGGTTAATTGTGTTTTAACTGTTTGATTTTGAGAATAACAAGTGCTGAATGGCTGTGCAGGTGAGGTTGTGCGGACAGCTCCTATATGGAGATTTAAGCATTGTCATTTGTCTTCAAACTATGATTGAATGAGTCCGAGAAAGAGAGAGAGCAACGGACATAAATGAGTGGGACTGTGGGAGATGTCATACAGTTTGAGGAAGTGTTTAGTCTGAGCTGGAGAAGAAACAGATTATAAACCTCCAAGAATCTTCTCTCCCAAAGCAAGGCTCACTTTACACCTTACCATTAAGCTCTAACACATTTAGCCATCTGTATCGCAGAGGGGGTTAGGATTAATGTGAGGATGACATCCTAGAATGTCAGACTATTGCATTATAGCCTGAGCCTGTGCAAAGGTTTCCTCTTAAGTAGGTAGAGATCTCCTGGAAACCGTCTAAGCAATTTATCCCCTGCTTTACATTGGCTTGAGTGTTTTCCCTGATAGACAAAATAGGTAAAGGCTCCGGTGGGCTGTTCTGTTCTGGTGGGCTGTGGATGGACAGTGCTGTCACAGCAAACTGCAGAGGTCAGGTGTACAGAAGGCCATCTAGGGCATCACCCTCCCTGTGGAATATAAAACTCAGAATGGGGAGGGCAGCTGTAGCATTCACCTACAGGACTATTGTGCTGAAACTCAGATATTCAATATCACTTAGATTTTCAGTGTCAGATTGTTGGCCATCGGTGACACCTATTATATAAGGTCCCATGTCCGTTTTAAATTGTTTAACCAGAATCAATGATCAGAACTCAGAGCTATCTGAAATAAACCATGTTTTTGGCCATTTAGTGGATTTTTTTTGTTTTGTTTTGTTTTGTCTAGTCCTTGATTTTGTGTTTACTTGCATGTTAGTGTTGTTGTCTCCAAAAACAAGAATCACTTTTATTGTTGCTCATAGTTAGAACTGCAAGAATAATTATCTTAATTAGTATTTTTGCCTACAGAAAAATAGGTACATTATACCATTCAAAAGTGTGGGGTTTTAAGAAATTTATGTTTTTATTCAGCAAGGATGCATTCAATTGATCAAACGTGACAGTAGAGACATTTTAATCTATAAAAATATCAAGCAGCACAACTTCTTTCAACATTAATAATAATAAGAAATGTTTCTTAAGCAGCCAATCAGCATGTTAGGATGATTTCTGAAGGATCAAGTGACTGAAGATTGGAGTAATGACTGCTGAACATTCAGCTTTGTAGCAAGAGGAATAAATTCCATTTTAATATATATATATATGTTAATAATTCACAATATTACTCTTTTTGCTGTATTTTTGTATAAATGCAACCTTGGTGAGCATAAGAGAAAGTTTTTTCTTTAAAAAAATAAAATAAAATAAAATAAAAAAATCTTCCTGACCTGGGGATTCACAGATAAGGAAATTTTGGCAATACCTAATTATTTATATTTTGAAGCAAATAACTGATGTATTGGCAGATATCAAATATCAGTCTAAAATTTGTGAGCCTAAAACAAACAAAAATAACAACTTAATAGTCAAAATCTATGTGTGTTTTAAATGATTCCAGGCATCATGTACATACAGTGAAAACGGCTTTTAATTTACAAACAGGTTAAATTGCAGAAAACGGTATTTTTAAAATTTCTGTTTTAAAAGAAAAGCATCTTCAAGAAATATAAGAAACGGCAAAGATACAAAAAGCCATGTATAAAAACATCTGACAGGCTTTAAGTAAACATTTTTTTAATTGTGTTATAGGTTGACCTGCTGCAAAACTGATGACATTTTTTGGCCAATACTGATATTATATCATGCATTCCTAAACCCTCAATTTCTGGAAATGCTAGGGAGCGGATTGGACTCCCTCGAATCTGAGACTTTTGGCACAGTTGTGTAGTTTTAGTGACTTTGGTGTCTCTGAGAGAATGGAGTTGCTGTAGTGGTGTCCTCTGTGACATTAGAGAGGTCTCCACCTGGTGATGAGTAGTACAGTGGCTTATGTTCCTGCTGATCCTGTTGGGACAGCTTTCTCAGACTGAATGTCTGCCATGAATTGTGACTGATCAGCAACATTTAGTAAGGATTTTCATTCCTTTGGTCTTATAGGATGGACGGCTCAGACCCGGAGATCAGCTTATCACCATTAACAAGGAGTCATTGATAGGAGTCACATATGAGGAGGCCAAAAGTGTGCTCAACAAAGTCAAATTCAGGTATTCACTTTGTTCAATGTAGCTTTATGTCTTTTGATCAATGTTTAATAATTAATCAGTGTCTTTGTACTTCTTTCTTCTACATAATGTACCTTGTGTCCCTGTTCTTTGCCCTTGAAGTCAAGAACCAGTGGTGGATATTGCCTTCATCCCAGGAAAAGGACCTTTCTCCAACAGCGCATCATTGCATAATGGAGTCCAGAGGGGGGTTGGGAACGGATGCAACTCTAGCCGGTTAAAGGTTCATGTCCGATCTCCTGAGGTGAGTGTTTACTAGTGTACAGATCATGTCATGTCTTTGACATTTCAACAACAAGAGAGTCTTGTGGCTTACATAATACACACACTTGTTATGGTCTTTTTGCTAAGCAGTACTTCATAATTTTCTTCTCATAGATGCGACGAGAGGAAACAGCTCCAGTGCTTTCATCCTCCCCGGATATCTGTCCTCCAAACATACAGGTTTCAGGTACGTCACAAAGGTGGATTCATAGGTCTAACCCCCTTAACACTATCTTAATAAGCTTAATAAGCCATTCTTATCACCCACATGAACAGTGCAGATTTTGTTATTTATAAGGCTCATATTTCCATTTTGAAAGGAGTACTCTAATTTCATAACCTTTCAAAATGAGTACATTTTGTGCAAAGTGATCACAAGATCTTGTGCTCTTTGTGCCTTTCTATCATACTACATTATTGTTTTACTGCAATTTTTTTTTATTTACAGAAAAATATCTCAATGTTATTTTAAAAAGATACATTTACTTGAGAGGGAAAATTTAATAAATACACTACCGTTCAAAATTTTTGGGTCAATACTATTTTTTTTTAAAGAAATTAATACTTTTAATCAGCAAGGATGCATTAAATTGATCAAAAGTGACAGTAATTTTACAAAAGATTTCTATTTAAAATAAATGTAAAATAATTATTTTTATCTTTCCTTTCATCAAAGAATCCTGAAAAAGTTCCACTAAATTATTAAGCAGCACAACTGTCTTCAGCATTTATGATATTTGTTATAAGGATATTTACAACAAGATAGGATGATATTCTTACTGGAATAAAAAAGACAAGCATATTGATTAATTTGTATCTTTAATTTAATTTAATTTGTATTTTTTGCAGTAAACCCATTGTTACTGTGTTTGTAAAGGACATCCTTTAAAATCCTTCATGGTTACAGACTAAAAGGGAAAATATCAGTGGTGTGCATATGCAGGTTCATGAATACAGAAAGTAGTTGCTCTTTGAGTTACTGTACCTTACAGACTGCATCTAAAATTAACCATCACTCAGAGAAACAGGATTTCTTGCGAAGCAATTATTTATTTTCAGAGAGAAAGATTGGGGATTAGTCAGTAGCAGTGTTTGGATTTTAATCAACGGCTAGTTGCAAAATAATCTCTCTGTGCTCCAGGGGTCGGGCATGTATGTGAGGTGTTTAAATTACACAGTCAAATTCTAGAAGACGTACCAAAATAAGAAAGGAAGGCGTCTTTCATGTTGAGTCAGATAGTGCTCTTATCTCAGTTCACAGCAGCTGGGAAGCTGTTTAGTACAGATTGGCTTGCTGTGCATAGTGTGTAATCCTTTCTTGGGGCACAAAAAGGGATTGATAAGTTGTTAAAGAAACCATACAGAGAAAGCCACTTAAGTCCATTTTATGCTCTTAGATACTTTGAAGAAGCAGTCTGAGTGGATGTTGACATGTCAAGTCACTTTTCCAGACGCTGAAATCTTTCTATGCTGAAATAATGCCCAAAAAATTATCACCATTTTATTTCTCTACATAGAGACCCAAAAAACATTTTGACACTTAATTCACACTTAAAAATGACTGAATGTCTTTCTATTATGTTTGAATGTACCATGTATTAGATATATCAAACCAAGTGGAATATGAAAAAAATGATGCTAGAAATTTTCTCAGAATAATCAATTACTGAAATTAACTATTTTATTTACTAAGTTTACTAAGTTATTTTATTTATGAACTTACCCTAACGTTTTTCTAACAGTATATTGTTTTATCATTTGAAACCCAACTTTTTAAAATGTGATCTATCTGTCTTTAAAATAAATTAAAATAGAAAGCCGTTATTTTCAATTGTAATGATATTTCAGAATATATTTTAAAAACATTTTTTGATCAAATAAATGCAGCCTTGATGAGTATAAGAGGCTAGCTTACTGAACCAAAACAAACAGCATTTTTCTTATCCCATTGGCTCTTTTTTGGTTATTTTAGTTTTTTAGTTTATTTTAGGCGCAAATCGAACAGTACTTATTGAGATTTATGCTTAAAACAAAAAGAAATTGCCAGTGGATAAAGTTCAAAAACCTAATTATAAATATTAATAATTAATATTAATTATGCATATTAATTATAAATTCTAAAACCCTCAAAATATATTCCCTGAAAACAATTTTTATTATAATACACAATTTTTCTTCTCAAGTCAATTTACTTTTTTGTAAGGATATATATATATATATATATATTTATTTATTTTTTTTATTTTTTTTTTATACAGTAAACTCATTGTTTCTGTGTTTGTAAATTGTTATTTAATGCAATGACATTCAGACATTTTCAAGTGTGGCTTTAGTGTCCAGTCTCCAAACTGAAATATGCACCATGCACCTGTCCATCAGGCTGTCTCTGGCCCAGAGCCTAAGGTTAATCTAGACCGGATGTAAGCATACCTGGCTCGCCCTTGAACTCTGGATGTTGTTGTAGCATTCTAATCATTCGTGACGTCTATAAAGTGCATAGTGCTTAATTACCCATTTATCCAGACTAGCTGATAAAATCTTATAAGAATAAGGCAGATCCGTCTTATCTGAATTAAATAGGCGCTGTAATCCTACAAAAGCCCTTCTGGGTGTCCTTCCTAGAAAGAAAGAGATGCGCTCAGACTCATTTGTTGTCATTCTTTAATCATTGTGATTTGTAGAGATGTAGAGATTGTTGTAGAATTCTGCTCTGCATGGAAGAGTGATGTTTACAACTGGTTTGCACCCAAACTTAAAAGCTGGCCGTTTTTTTTTTTTTTTTTTGTCAGATAAAGTAATGTATTACAATACTCTCTTTTGGAAAAAATGGTTCAAAGCTGTCACTGGGTAAAGGTACAAAAGCTAAAAGGTAAATTTTTACCTTATTAACCCCTAAATGGTACATATACATATTATTACCTAAAGTATTCATATTTGCACCTTTTGAAAGGGTACTGCCCCTTTGACAGTTTTGTACCTTTTTGTATGAGAGTGTAGGTTAAACATGACACTATTAATATAAATTCACGTTAAGTTTATAAGTGCTTATGTGTCAGATTTTGATCTTGGCTTATAGATTTAATAATTGTTTTATTAAAGAGATGGCTCAGACAAAAATAAACATTTTGTCATCAATACTCACCCCATGACCCAAATGACATGAAAACCAAAAGAGAACTTTTCAAGAATCTCTAGACTTCTCTTTTCCATATAATAAAAGTGAATGGGGACTAGGGCTGTCAACCACTAAAAATGACAAAAAGCACCATTAAAGTATTATAATAGTGGTCTATATGAATCATGTACTATATTCCAGGATTTCAGAAGTCATAATAGCGTTGTGTGAGAAACAGACTGAAATCTAAATTATTTTTCATGGATAATCTTGTGTAACACCCCTCCATGATGCTCTACATGATGGACTACAGACGTCATCGTGACATAATGTCAGTCTAATTTTGCCATATTTAGTTTGAGAACACTAAGAATATAGCGCTCGAGTTATAGAGACTAGGGATGCACCGATACCGATACTGGTATCGGTATCGGGCCCGATACTGGCCTCCTGTACTCGTACTCGTACTCGTTAAAATGCCCCGATACCAAACGCCGATACCACTGCCATATTTAGTTTGAGAATACTAAGAATATAGCGCTCAAGTTATAGAGACACTTTTTATGTACTTTTTTTGTGATGTTGGAGCCCCCATTCTCTTTCATTATAAGGAAAACAGTGGCCAGGATATTCTTCAGAAATTCACATTTTGTGTTTCACAGAAGAAAGGAATTTATACATGTTTGTACAGCATGAAGGCGAGTAAATTATTCAATTTTTATGTGAACTAACCCTTTAGTGAATAGTTACGCTGGCTTTCCACATGTTTGCAATTCTGGTGGAACACTCATAGAAGCATTATTAATCTGGATTGTTTTAGTTGTCCTGGATTGTGTACCATCAGTACCACCTGTTAAATCCACTCCTCCTGAGCGAGCTCCTGCTGTCCTGAATTACCTGCATGGTCCTGAATTACCGGCATGGGACCTGTCTGAGTCTGTGTGAGTCTGACGTGTCTGAGCTCAAGCTGTCAATCATGAGCATCAGAAGGCAGCTAAATCCCCTGCAGGAGTGTGTCCCCAGGGTGGGGGTGATCATCTCATAGCTCTTATATCAGTACCACCTGTTAAATCCACTCCTCCTGAGCGAGCTCCTGCTGTGCGTGTTGGTCCTGAATTACCGGCATGGGACCTGTCTGAGTCTGTGTGAGTCTGACGTGTCTGAGCTCAAGCTGTCAATCATGAGCATCAGAAGGCAGCTAAATCCCCTGCAGGAGTGTGTCCCCAGGGTGGGGGTGATCATCTCATAGCTCTTATAGCGAGCGTTGCTTGACAATACACACGCCACTGAAAGCACTGGTGTTAATGCCTCTCTTTCTCTATTGCTATCTCTCTCGCCCCCTCGATTCAAATCCCTCACACAGTTCATAATCTTTATTGTATTAATATAATACCCATTCATTTGAACTCCCAGAAAATGAAAAAAACATTAAGGCCACGTTTCCCAATGCAGCTAACTTTAGCGCTCACCACTAAATGCTCTAATGTGAGTATGACTCTTAAAGTAGGTGAATTACTGTCCCACTTTCCCCCTCAGCCTCCACCGCACAGAGACAAGCCACTGTTTCCAAACCCAAGATCTCGCTGGACCCCCACATACGGCTCAAATCAGAGAAGCTCGATCTGGTAAGCCTGGTTTAGTTTATACAAACAGTTTTGCATGTGTACAAAGATTGATGCTTTATGAAACATTCTTAGGTGCTGTGCATGGTAAGTTAACGTTTGACTGATAATCCAGGACACAACAATAAGGTTTTTTTCTGCTGACTTAACTGATAATATTTTCACTGACCTCACACAAAATTTTTTGCATGTAATGTTTGATAAATATGTTACATATTGCAATTTAACACATAAAAATTGCAACATTTTTGTAGCTATAACTTAAGTCTATTATAATTTTCCAACCATCCAACGAATGCTCTCTAAGATTATCAAAAATAATTTTCACAATTTTATATTAGCTAGCTAGATCAGTGGTTATCAGCCTTTTTGACTTGAAGGCCTCTTGTTCTCCAACACAATATTCATCGACTCGACATCGACAAATTTCTGCTGTAATTGTGACAAAGCTGCTTGTTTTTCAACTTTTTTATTAACAGAAAGGAACATTGAGTATTGAGTATTAAACTAATTCATTTTGTGATTTTGGCTGTATGTTCTTCAATTAAAGTTATTCAGGAAGAAGAAATATATATATTTTCTTATTTATTACTTGTATTAGATTATAATATTTTATTTAAAAAAAATAAATTTCAGCTTACAACATGATTTTACTGTATGTTTATTTTAGATTAGAATCTGATTATTAAAAATAATTTATAAATTTAAATACTTTTTTAGTCATGTTGTGGCCCCCTAATGGGCCCCAGCCCTCGGTTGAGAACCACTGTGCTAGATAATGTTACAAAATTAAATAACTAGATTTAACATCAACAGTTTATTTCTTTGAGTGAAAGTGTGACATAAAAAGAGTAGTAATACTAGTCGTGTGACCTTAACCTTTTTATCGTTTTCAAATCATATGAGTGTATTTTTTGTTTGTTTGTTTGTTTTTTTTACATTTAAGAATAAATAAATTAAAATAAATACTGTTAATTTAGAGGTACAAATTTTTTTTTAGAATCTCTAAATAGTTCTGCATTATTTATTATTGCAGTGGCATGAGTTTGTACCTGTATTTTTAATTACTGACAGTTCAGAAAACATAAGGGGGGTTTAAAGGGTTAATCCCCACTGAAATCTGTACCAGTGACTTCAAAAGGAGCCTGTATCTCAGTAACTGACAGGGTACTTATAGCCTATCATATCTCAGTGTCACTTTCCTCATACATCTCAGTCTCTGCTCTTTGTTACGGTGCAGTTGTTTAGCAGAGATTTAATTTAATCTTGCTGATCCCAAGGCTGACCCTAATCTACCGGCCCATTAATAGCATTAGGTCTCACTGGACGAGAGCACTTAAATGTGGACTAAAGGCACAATGCACACTATATTAAGTGTTACACGAACAGGTATTTGACATGGTCCAAAGTTTCAATGTGACGTCATGCTGTTTATTCTGCTGTTTGTCTTATTTTTAAGTAGATGTTTTATCTGGAACAGGACAGTTTTCTTGCCATTGGTGTTTGAACAGTATCTTACTTTTGTGAACTTAATCTGATTAGCCTTATTAATGTCTTTTGATCTCTTATGGACCATAAGCCTGGATTTATTGTACGCTACTGACTTGACCTCTGTTACCACACTGACCTCTTGTGTACATAGCTGTAACATTCGTTTCAAGCTTGGTTGGATGCTGTACAGTCGAAAAAGAATCATGCTCATCAGTCAGCTCTTAAAATACCTGTTTATTCACTAAACATTTAAGCATAATAGTTTATAGTTATATATTTTTATTTTTCTGCTCTGAGCAGTAAATTCAAAACAGTGTTGTAATAAATATATTAATAAAAAATTTAAATAAATGAAAAAAAATTAAATGTTGTTTTTTTTAGAATAGGAGAATGGCATTGCAGACCTCTCAGAATTTCAAAGGTGCAGGATGTGGTTGACTAGGCCTGAACCACTATAATGATGAAGGTTTTTGACAGTTTGGTCATTTTGCAGGCTCTGTCGTACCTGGGTTTGGATATAACAGATGAGAAGAGACGGCAGCTCAGAGAGAGTCTCACTACAGACCCTCAGGGAACTGTGTCGTATGGAGGTATAGACACATCCTTTACACCTTTATGCTGCACCTGCATAACATGATCCTCAGCCAGTCAACTAGATAAAGGAAATAATCACTTATTTTCACAATCATTTTGGTGTGGACTGACATTCCCTTTTTTAGAAAATCACATATTTCAGTATTGGAAGTGAGTCTAAAACGGGCCATTTTGATCTGAAGTGCTATTTTTACTAATTTTCACTTCTTTTTCAAATTACCAGCATGCACACACTTACATTATGTTTTTGCACTACCCCTGCAATAAAAGCACATCCTGTGCAAATGAATGAGTGGGGTTTTATAGCATATTTAATTTAACTGCTTAGGTAATGTTAATTGTTTTAACCAATTCAGGGGTTGCCATTTTACGATTTAAAGTTATGATTATGATTTGAAATACGAAATTACAATTTAATATCCATAGAAATGTATCTTCATATTTACAGGTAAAGCTTCATTTTATAAGTAGACTGTTCTCTGTACTATGACTCGCACCAACATTTTGTTTTTTTGACCTTCAGGGGGATCAGATCCCCCCCCCCCTCAGGGGTTCAAAACAGCTTCAAAACAGGTTGCATGACAAAGAAAAAAGGTTACTGCAGTTTAGAAAAAAAGGAAGTTGTAGTTTAGCATGCAAATGTGGCGGAATTTAACATTACTGAATTAACTAAAAAAAAAAGTAATACTAATCTCTCTTGCACTCATTGCTCGGATGCCAGTGATTACCGGTGCAGCTTGCGTGCCTAAGGTTCCCAACCTCTGAAATAACCACAGGAAATAATCACATTTTGACCTGGACGGAAATACCTATTCTGAAAAGGGAATCCCAATCCATATTTGGATATTGAGCTTGAGTTTACACTTTGAAACTCTTAGAATGAGTTTTTAGAGACAGATTGTCTGTCGGGGGGGGGGGGAAATATTGGGTTCAGTTGTTTGTTTTTTTTACATTTAAGAATAAATAAATTAAAATAAATACTGTTAATTTAGAGGTACAAATTTTTTTTGAGAATCTCTAAATAGTTCTGCATTATTTATTATTGCAGTGGCATGAGCTTGTACCTGTATTTTTAATTACTGACAGTTCAGAAAACATAAGGGGGGTTTAAAGGGTTAATCCCCACTGAAATCTGTACCAGTGACTTCAAAAGGAGCCTGTATCTCAGTAACTGACAGGGTACTTATAGCCTATCATATCTCAGTGTCACTTTCCTCATACATCTCAGTCTCTGCTCTTTGTTACGGTGCAGTTGTTTAGCAGAGATTTAATTTAATCTTGCTGATCCCAAGGCTGACCCTAATCTACCGGCCCATTAATAGCATTAGGTCTCACTGGACGAGAGCACTTAAATGTGGACTAAAGGCACAATGCACACTATATTAAGTGTTACACGAACAGGTATTTGACATGGTCCAAAGTTTCAATGTGACGTCATGCTGTTTATTCTGCTGTTTGTCTTATTTTTAAGTAGATGTTTTATCTGGAACAGGACAGTTTTCTTGCCATTGTTGTTTGAACGGTGTATCTTACTTTTGTGGCAGTATCAGATTGTAGGTTTGAACTTAATCTGATTAGCTTTATTAATGCCTTTTGAACTCCTATGGACCATAAACCTGGATTTATTGTACGCCACTGACTTGACCTGTTACCACACTGCCCTCTTGTGTACATAGCTCATAACTGTAATACTTTTTTCAAGCATGGCTGGATGCTGTGCAGTCCAAAAAGAATCATAGTCATCAGTCAGCTCTTAAAATATATTTTTATTCACTAAACATTTAAGCACCATTGCTTATAGTTATTTTTTAATTTTTCAAGAGAATCATTTGCTCTGAGCAAAAAAATTCTAAATAGTTTTGTAATAAATAAAATAATAAAAAATGTAAATAATTAATTAAAATAATGTCTTTTAGAATAGGAGAACTGCAGGATGTGATTGAATAGGCCAGAAGCACTATAATGATGAAGGTTTTTGACAGTTTGGTCATTTTGCAGGCTTTGTCGTACCTGGGTTTGGATATAACAGATGAGAAGAGACGGCAGCTCAGAGAGAGTCTCACTACAGACCCTCAGGGAACTGTGTCGTATGGAGGTATAGAAACATGCTTTTACACCTTTATGCTGCAGCTGCGTAACATGGTCTTCAGCCAGTCAACTATAGATAAAGGAAATAATCACTCATTTTCACAATCATTTTGATGTAGACTTGCATTCCCTTTTTAGACAATCACATAGTTCATAGTTCTGAAGTGCTATTTTTAATATTTTTTACTTCTTTTTCAAATCACCAGCGTGTGCACACTGACATTATGTTTTTGCACCGTCCATGCAATAAATTCACTTCCTGTGCAAACATCCTTGAATGAGTGGGCTTTTATAGCGTATTTAGTTTAACTGCTCGGGTAATGTTAATGGTATTAACCAATTCAGATGTTGCCATTTTACAATTTAAAATTATGATTACGATTTGAAATACGAAATTACGATTTAAAATTGCTAGAAATGTATCTTCATATTTATAGGTAAATCTTCATTGTACTATGACCCCCACCAACATCTTGTTTTTTTTGTCCTAAAGGAGGATCAAGCCTTCTTTAGCCCCCTACCCCACCCAACCCTTAGTATGACAAAGAAAAGGATTACTGCAGTTTAGCAAAAAAAAAAAAAGGAAGGTGTAGTTTAGCATGCAAATGTTGCAGAATTCAACATTACAAAAATAACTAAGACAATGTGATATTAATCTCTCTCGTACTCATTGCTCGGATGCTAGTGATTACCGGTGTAGTGTGTGTGCCTAAGTTTCCCAACCTCTGAAATAACCACAGGAAATAATCACAATTTTACATGGACGGAAATACCTGTTTTGAAAAGGGAATCATAATCCATATTTGGATATTGAGTTTGAGTTTACACTTTGAAACACTTAGAATGAGTTTTTAGAGACAGATTGTCAGGGGGGAAAACATTTTTTTTAGACAGCTAAGTATATTTCCAGGTTGCTCATGACAGGGAGTTACGCTCCTCAGCAGGAAGATGCCACCGCGGCAAATCCTGTTCAAAGTGCTTGCAGTGGAGCAAGAGTTCTGCCTGGTTTCTTGTACTTCGGCTGTGCAAGGGCACCTGAACATAAATATTCCCTCTAGACGCTCTTTCTCCTGTTATGAAGATTATTCTGGATAGATTTCAGATAGATTCCTGGATAGATAGAGTGACAGGAGAAGAGAATATATTGCACCCACTTTCTGTTTAGCAAGCAAATGTTGACCTGAAATCACATCATTTCAAATCTACATAACAGAAATCTTGATGGGTTTGATGCTATAATTCCTTACATGCTTTTTATATTTGGAGTGCTATTCTTGGCTATTTCTAACTACGGCTCTGTTTTCCTAATAAGACTTTGTGGAAGCCACCCGCAGCGTTTATCAGGAGAAGCTGGAAGAGGCGGGACTGGGACAGGGTCCCTTCATGTTCTCCTATCAGGAAGCAGCTAGTTTGATGGACACCTCTGCCTTTCATTCCCCAGTAAGTAGACCCGCAGGATTTAGTAACGGAGCGCTTGATTTTGATTGGGGCTAAACTTCAGCGCAATCCTCAGAGCACCTCCTCACATTGAGACTTCACTTTCTCCAGAAGTTGAGCATGTCAGGAGATTTACTTTGCATTCTTAAAGGAGCTTTTCTGCTGCTCAGGAGAGTTATTAAAGCTGTCTTTTAAGGTCTTAAATGCTTCAATTGTCCGAGTTTGCCTGTTCTGTACCCTGCACCTTTGGATATGTTTCACATCGATGTATGAGCACTGAAATGGTCCTGGTTTTAATGTTCTTTGCATATCTGAGAGGCAGGGTCACACACTTAAAAAAAGAGTTGTTTTAGTAGTGTCACTCTCTCTTTCAGACCTGTGAGTCAGAGTGCAGCTACAGCAGTGAGGAACTGGAGGAGTTTCAGACTGAAGTCAAACAACTTCAGCTGCAAATGAAACAACTTAAGGTGAGTTCTGAAATAAACACTGGATGGCAATTTTAAGTTTGAACCCGGCTTGACTTTCTATTAAATTTAGCGAGGTGGAGCTGAACATCTGTGCAGAAAGCCTTTGTGATATGAACATTTATTGCTCTCAGGTGTTACTGAAAGACACAGAAGACAGTAAGAAGACTCTGGAGGAGGAACTGCAGAAGACGGCTGAGGTAAAGCCTGCAGCATCACAAATAAACACGATTTGTTTAATGTGACTTAAATGCCTCAAAATATGCCACCCAAATATTAAGAGTCATGTGAGCAGTTTTAATACATCGACACTTTGTGATGCCCATTTTACCTCACTATATTTGTGTATACCAAATATATACTATCACAACATGAGCATCTGAACTTGTTCAAACATTTAAGACGTTTCTCCACACATCATTTTGTGCATTCCCTTATTTCCATGCATATGGATGAAACAGAAGGCCACAGCCACAGTGGAGGAGAACAAGTCTCTGAAAAGTAAGCTGCAGGTAGCAGAGGCTGTTCAGAAACAGACCAACAGCGCTGAACAAGACTACGAGGAGGTCATTCAGCTCCTGGAGGCTGAAATCAAAGATCTGAAGAACCAGCTTGCCGGAAAGAAACAGAGAGGCCTGGAGGCTACTAAGGTAAATGTTCCTCATCACATCTCTCTGTTTGCTGAAAAATTATTTATATCATTTTTAAGATGATTTATAAGATGATGCAATGACTAAAAAACTTTTGTAGACTAGAATGAGTTGGCAGTTGTTATTGTTATCCAGTACAACACAGTCCTGTTTATGATGAACTAGTGTTGTTTTAGTATTTGTATACTATTATGAATTTTGAATTAGCTTTTCTTTTCTTTTTTACATTTTCATTTCTTTTATTTTTTGCATTTTCATTTCAATTTTAGTGAATTTGTCATTTTATTAGTTTTTATATATCTATATATATATATTTACTTATCTAGCTATATTTTTGTTTCACTTTTTAGTTTGATTAATTTTATTACTTATTTTATTTCTGTTAGTTGCCATGGCAACATTTCTAGTTTTTTTTTGGTGCTTTTCATCAAATATTTATATTACAGCTTTATTTCAATTAACGAAGATGTTTTTAATAGTTTAAGTTTTAGTAAAGGTTTTAAAGCCCATTTTCTTCACAGGAGAATGTGATGGAGCTGAACAGGAGGCTCGCCATCATTGACAGCCAGTTGAGAAGGTCTGAACTCACACGGAAACACCTGGAGATATCCAACAAGAAGCTCCTTGGCTTTGCACAGGTAAACACAAACCACATTTTTTTTTACTTACAGGGATAGTTCACCCAAAAATGCTAATTCTGTCATCATTTACTCACCCTCATGTCATTCCAAACCTGTATGAGTTTCTTTGTTGAACAGAAAAGAGAATTTTGGGAACCAAACAGTTGATGGTAGCCATTGTCTTCTATAGTATAGAAGACAATGGCTACCATCAACTGCACAATTTTCCTCAGAATAACTTCTTTTATGTTTAGTAGAAAAAAAAAAGTCACACAGTTTTGGAATGACATGAGGGTGAGTAAATGATGACAGAATTCACATTTTTTTCGCCCTTTTAAAGTACACTGTTGTATCTAGATATCAGTGGTGCTTCCAAAACACAAAAAAATATCCAAGTTTAAAATTTGCACTCTGTTTTTACAGAATGTCCACAAAGTTCTCACCAATGCCAGCTTATTTGGGATTGAAAGTGGGTAAGTTTCTCAAGACAAACACTGAAAGTTGTAGTGTCTCACTGTGTCAGAGATCATGACTGCCCTTCCTCATCCTACAGGTGCGCACAAGCGTCTCCAGCGACTGACAGCCCCGACACACCCTCCCCGATCCCAGACCCTGCCTGCCAGCTCGCAGCTGAGGCCAAAGAGCTCGTAGATGGTGTCAGCTCACTTTGCACTGAGGATCACAGTAAGTGAGAAATGTGCAAATGTGTCAACAGCTCTGCGCGACTAATCTGAGTGGCTGCTTAAAGCCTCTCTCCTTGAGTCTGATCGTTTGAAACCACGTCAGTCTGTTTGAGTGGAGTGTGACTTACATAAACTGGGACATTAAAGGGGTCATATGATGCGATTTCATTTTTTCCTTTCTCTTTGGAGTGTTACAAGCTCTTGGTGCATAAAGAAGATCTGTAAAGTTGTAAAGACTAAAGTCTCAAATCCAAAGAGATATTCTTTATAAAAGTTAAGAGTTAGCCACACCTACCTAAAACGGCTCGTTCGAACACGCCCCCACATATCTACCACACTACAAGGAGTTTTGACAACACCAAAGCAGGTGTCACGTGGCTCGTATTTGAGTCATTTAGAGTTTGAAATGGTATTAATCATGCTATTTTGAAATGAGAACAGTCAGGGCAGCCTTGTCATAGGGTCAATCCTAACCGAAGTGCTCAAGGGTACATATCAGAAGATCCTTTGAAACAAAACGGGTTTTATTAGTCTTTAATTATCATTCTGAAATTTTAACTGGAATATTGTTATATCATTTCTTTAATTATTTAGTCATTTAGAGTTTGAAATGGTATTAATCATGCTATTTTGAAATGAGAACAGTCATTGCCTTGTCATAGGGTCAATCCTAACCGAAGTGCTCAAGGGTACATTTCAGAAGATCCTTTGAAACAAAACGGGTTTTATTAGTTTTATTAGTCTTTAATTATCATTCTGAAATTTTAACTGGAATATTGTTATATCATTTCTTTAATTATTGGATATGCTCTATACATTTGTTTTCTGGTATGTATTTATTTTTTCATTCATTGTTATTATTAAAATACTAATTTAATGTATTAAAGGCAGGGTATGTGATTTTTCAAAAACACTTTAGAAAAGACCCTTTTGGGGTAGGGCATGTTTGTTTTGGTGATTTCAAATATCAACATTGGCTACCAGAAATCACTTACTCTGCCTTTAAGCATATCTTCATTAAACTGTATATATTTAATATATATATACATATGTTTTAAGCATATTTTTTCTTCAGTAAACTTTGTGTATTTATACATGCGTATACATATGTGTGTTTAATGAATAGTATTAAAATAATATATTAAATTGAAGTAATGTATTATTTCTTCAAAGAAATGTAAAGGTTTTCTTAATTTTCTTAATTCAACTTTAACTGTTCTTAAAGTCTAACAGTTACAAAAAAAAGTTTACATTATAAAAGAGGTTATCAATGAAAAATCATGTGTAAAGGTACAACGAATGTCCAGTAGTGTCAGCCATTGTGTGATTGTAACATTGACTCCAAATGACAGTTATATTTTTTACCCCTTTTAACTTCTGAAGCTTTCCCTGTGAAAAGTGCATACTCTTAAGAGAATATGGCAAATGCATATCACTTCAGAATGAAACACAATCATAAACATGATAATGAGATTCTTCATATTTACATTAGAAGATTATTGACTTACATAATGCTCTTTTTTTCCCTGTAGCCTCACTCAATGGCCACAACCTCCTGTCCTCAGGACTGCAGTAGAGCGGCGAGGTCAGTAGAGCGTCTGGGATGGACAGACAAACCGGGCTCATTCAGAACATCAAGGTCGAACTGCACCTATACTGTGGAACATAAGAGACTGTGAAGATTTGCAGTGTGGTTTGTACTCTTTCAAGTGGCTACCAGAGGCCTGAGCTCTACTGATCAAACTCATACTCATTTTTTAAAGCTGACCGTGTACATATTTAACATGTAGCAGAACTCAGTGTCATAACATAAAGGCAGAAACCAACCAAGGGAATTGAAATCCGAAACACAAATGGCACCATTAACAGCAGCGGTGACTTTGAAATGCTCAAATGTGACTTCAACTGTGTCAGCATGTGCCGTGCGTAACACTTATAGCAGATGAAGCAGTTACCACACACAGTTCTCATTCAGACGGTATATTTCCCCATTTCAACAACTGTAATGAAAACACATGTGACTGTACAGCTGACCTCTCTATTAGAGTTAGGTATATTATACAGTACATGTATTAGATTTCACTTGGGGATCTTCGGGACAGTCCCCACTCTTCATCATTTGATATGATGCTTATTTGTATCTGTTCTGAGAAGTGCTATGACGTTTTGAAGATTTTATATTTTCAGTCCGAATCTTTTATTATTCAGAGACACATAGACACGCTCGCTTCTAAGTATGTGCGCAGTTGCCGTCATAAACCTTGTAAATCTTGCCGTCAAACCCTTTGATTTCCTCTTCATGTCTGCCGATCATGTCAGTCTACGCTGGGTCACCCAGTCTCCACTGCATTACGATCAGGTATGGTCTATTAAGTGCTTTGGGGGGATCCTTCATGGTTTGTTTCGCTGATGGACGGTAACTTTGCTCCATCTCGGGACTATGATTCTGTTTGGGAGGTGGGGGTGTACTGTCGTCATGGCACTGGTATCAAGTAATGGGAGTCATATTGCAGTGTTCCACCCTGAATGCATCCATTCAGCTGAACAATGCACATGGATCGGGTTACTGTTTTCATAAGCACACTGTATTCGGCTGTTTTGTCTTGCCATATAGGATCTACAGTCACTTATATCAATGTGTAATAAACTGGTACCATTCATTTCCTGAGGATAGAGGTGTACGGTTATGCAGATGGTTTGTTGATCTTAATAACAGCACATGCTCTACAAATGCTGACATGTAGTCCTGTGATTCAACTAGATTGCATCATATGTGTGGCCTAAATATCTTTCTTTTGTTTTTATTAAAGTCTGAACAAATGTGATGTGTTTTTGTATTATATGCAGTGGACTTCAGTACAATATAGACTTTAAAAATACGAGGATTTGGCTGTTATTTTCAAATCCAGGTCAACAGACAGACACGCTCATGCTTACGTGTCTGCAGGAATAGTAGTGTATGCGTGCCAGTCTACATTGCTGAGCCAAAGCTGGCTCATCGTACAATATTTAAAACATTTATTTGGCTACCAAGAGCTGCATGCTGACACAATTTTAATGCTTGTGTAATCTGCAACAGCTTGTGTGGGTCTTTTTTTCTTCCTAGATAAGACTAAACACATCTGTACAGTTTCTATTAAAGATACATCACTGAATTTGACCTTACAGTAACCTTTTTATGGTAACATGCATAGTCATATATACATACATGTACATATATTTATAATTTAAAAGTTTGGGATCAGTAAGGTTTTTTTAATTGTTTTTAAAAATGTTTTTTAAATCTTTTGTTTTGGTCTCTAATGCTCACCAAAGCTTTTGGTGATCAAAAATACAGTGAAAACAGTAATACTGTGAAATACCATTACAATTTAAAATAACTTTATTTTAATTTGAATATATATCACTTATTTACTAATAAGCACACACATTAGAAAATTAAGGCAAGGACCATTTTGTTAATCTGCAATAATTCAACATTTTATAATTATTACTCTAATTATAATTAAAATGTTACATTTCTGGTGGAAGAAAAGAATAAACATTTTAAGACTAATATGTCTCTTAAAAAGTCAACAATTAGATAATATTTTCCACATTTTAATAAAACAGCTAGACCATTTTATTATTTAATGTTAATTAATTTCAAGTTGAATTCAAAACCGTACACAAAAGTACAATTCACTGTGGAGGCTATGACGACAACAGTTAAAATTTCAACAAGTAACATAGAAAACCATATTTAAATGAAGGTATTCTCTGTATGTCAATTTCCTACAGAATATTTTGTGCAAACAGACACTGGTTCAGTCAGAGCTTAAACTCGTATCATGGGAAGTGACACCCATTTACCATTTCAACACACCACCAGGCAATTCTAACCTCTCAAAACATTTCAGAATAAACTGAAAATCTTACATTTACTCAAAGTGAGAATTTCATTACAACTGTCACATTTGTGCTGACAGTTTCTCCTGAAAACAGAAAATACAGCTGACTGTCTACTTGATAAACCACCAATGTTTCTATCATTTTACTATTAATATAGCACAAATGTTCAATAAACACATATTTGTATTTTATGATGCAGTCTTAAAGTGAAGTAGAGGGTTTAGTAAAACTACTGCCAAACACTGGGGTCAGTAATGCTGCTGTGTGAAGGGCTCCAGTCAAATTTGTGCCATCACAAGCAGTCCCTGAGCACCCCCTCCTGGTGTGATGTTGGGCTCTGCATGCTGACACAATTTTAATGCTTGTGTAATCTGCAACAGCTTGTGTGGGTCTTTTTTTCTTCCTAGATAAGACTAAACACATCTGTACAGTTTCTATTAAAGATACATCACTGAATTTCACCTTACAGTAACCTTTTGATGGTAACATGCATAGTCATATATACATACATATACATATATTTATAATTTAAAAGTTTAGGATCAGTAAGGTTTTTTTTAATTGTTTTAAAAAAAATTTTTTAAATCTTTTGTTTTGGTCTCTAATGCTCACCAAAGCTTTTGGTGATCAAAAATACAGTGAAAACAGTAATACTGTGAAATACCATTACAATTTAAAATAACTTTATTTTAATTTGAATATATATCACTTATTTACTAATAAGCACACACATTAGAAAATTAAGGCAAGGACCATTTTGTTAATCTGCAATAATTCAACATTTTATAATTATTACTCTAATTATAATTAAAATGTTACATTTCTGGTGGAAGAAAAGAATAAACATTTTAAGACTAATATGTCTCTTAAAAAGTCAACAATTAGATAATATTTTCCACATTTTAATAAAACAGCTAGACCATTTTATTATTTAATGTTAATTTCAAGTTGAATTCAAAACTGTACACAAAAGTACAATTCACTGTGGAGGCTATGACGACAACAGTTAAAATTTCAACAAGTAACATAGAAAACCATATTTAAATGAAGGTATTCTCTGTATGTCAATTTCCTACAGAATATTTTGTGCAAACAGACACTGGTTCAGTCAGAGCTTAAACTCGTATCATGGGAAGTGACACCCATTTACCATTTCAACACACCACCAGGCAATTCTAACCTCTCAAAACATTTCAGAATAAACTGAAAATCTTACATTTACTCAAAGTGAGAATTTCATTACAACTGTCACATTTGTGCTGACAGTTTCTCCTGAAAACAGAAAATACAGCTGACTGTCTACTTGATAAACCACCAATGTTTCTATCATTTTACTATTAATATAGCACAAATGTTCAATAAACACATATTTGTATTTTATGATGCAGTCTTAAAGTGAAGTAGAGGGTTTAGTAAAACTACTGCCAAACACTGGGGTCAGTAATGCTGCTGTGTGAAGGGCTCCAGTCAAATTTGTGCCATCACAAGCAGTCCCTGAGCACCCCCTCCTGGTGTGATGTTGGGCTGAACAGCCCATCTGTGACCAGCTGATCGCTACAACAGTGGATCAGAAAGGCCGCTGTAGGAAGGAGACAGGGGGAGAGCCAACGCTCTGCGGACTGTGCAGATGAGAGTCATAAGAACCTGGAGTCATGCCCACTACTGAGTCTCCGTGCAGAAAGTCATCTTCTTCCTCCATAGACCCCTGTGAGACAAGATCAAAGTGATATTGGATATTCTCTGAAGAGACTAAACTACTGAGATGAGCCAAAAAGAGTTTTAAAAAAAAACTCCATCAATTACAATGTTTCAGTTTTCTTACAGTGGCTTCAAAAATATATATATGGACACTTAAAATTGCCTGAATGGGCAGACAAAAACTCTCTGAAATCTCTAAACCCTCTTTGTGGCCGCTGAGAATGTGCATCACCTTTCTCACTTCCTTCTTGGGCACATCTATCATACAATCGGATGGCTCCTCCCACGCCTGGTAGATTGGCTCAATGAGTTTTCCAGAGCTGTTGTAAAAAAGAATACATAAATAAATAATTTTTAGTGAACTAGTATTTCCAAGGCTGAGTTTAACAGGAATGAGCATGACTTTTTTTACCTTTTCAGGAGATACGGATCAAAAGGGAAGAAGGTATCCAGAGGGTTTGTGTTAGTGGACACCGAGCTGCCGCCCGTTGAACAGCTCACCACTGGCAACAAGTTCCGGTTGTTCCGCTCAATGATGGTGTAACAGAACACGAGCTGGTACTTCCTGCCAACAGATGGGTGAAATTGCCCTCATTTATCATGCTTTTATTTCGTGAAGTTTTTGTAATCTGATGATGGCTCTCTCGTGCTGTACCTGGTGATGGCTGCAAACATGTTGGTGACAGCAGGTAGACAGACCCTCAGCGGGTTGAGCTGGCACATCACTATACGCTCGAGATTCAAACCTTGAAGGTACACCAACCCTGCAGAAGGGTCAAACGAAAAGTCTAGTTTAAAACACATTTGTCAAGTTCAAAAATGTTATAGTTTTATGACACTCAAAATGAACATGCATTTTATTTATTCATCATGAATTATTCATTTAAGGTGTCCTTGTTACAGTTTAATTGTACATTTAAGTACTGAGTGATATTAGTACTATAGCTTTAAGGTTATGATTAGGGTTTGGTTTAGAGTTAGTTGCATGTAATTATGCATAATTTACTGTAATTACTATAAGTATATGTAACGTGTAACAAGGACACTATAATAAAGTGTTAGTATTCATTTTAATATAATAAAAAAAATGTTTTGGGGAGTCGCACAAGGTTTACACCCTGAACTGACCTTGTCTTGCTGTAAAAAGTATTAAATTATGATTTTTTATTCTTTTTTTCTGCATGTTGGTTGAAGTCGAATCACATGACTTTGATTTGTAAGACAAAAGTTTTTCAAATATTAACAAGCAATAAAGCATTATTGTTAAAATAATTTTTCTAAGAAATATTTATAAAACATGCCAAACTAAAGGTTTTCTTTTAAAGCACTTTGTTCTTTTGACAAGGCTTTTTTCTTGATTATGTTATCAGAATAGATCACTGCAATATTTTTGAATTTATGACCCCAAAATAAAAAAATTAAATTGAAATTTAGAAATAAAATACAAATAAACACATTCTAGAAGTGGTGAATTCAGGTCATTGTTTGCATGATTAACAGACCAGGGCAAAATAAATTGTGTACTTGACAACTTATAAGTTGTATAGTTGACTATACAACTTATAACAACTGAAAAAAACGTTTTAACAACTCAAATGATTTTCACGCTTGTGCTTCCAAGTATAAACAGGTAAATTCCACATGTACTGACCTTTCTTCATATTGCCCTCCAGAATGGCATTGTGTCTGAAGATGAGCGTGTAAAACACAACCCCCAAAATAAAAAAATTAAATTGAAATTTAGAAATAAAATACAAATAAACACATTCTAGAAGTGGTGAACTCAGGTCATTGTTTGCATGATTAACAGACCAGGGCAAAATAAATTGTGTACTTGACAACTTATAAGTTGTATAGTTGACTATACAACTTATAACAACTGAAAAAAACGTTTTAACAACTCAAATGATTTTCACGCTTGTGCTTCCAAGTATAAACAGGTAAATTCCACATGTACTGACCTTTCTTCATATTGCCCTCCAGAATGGCATTGTGTCTGAAGATGAGCGTGTAAAACACAGCCTGACAAGCTGTATAAAAGGGGCCGTGCAGATTGACGTCACAGAATGCTTTGGATCCCGAGTCCTGACTGTTAATATAAAGGTGCAACCAGGGAACCAACAGGTCCAGACAGGCCTTGACTGTCCTGTGGAAGAGAGGAAACTCTACAGAACCAGTTTTGACACTATTTCAAATGATGTTTTGACAAATATAGGTACCTGTGTCCAATCAAACCCTTTTCTTTTCCAGATAACAACAAAGAGGCATTAATGTTTAATGACTTAATCAAGGTAACAAACCACTGCCAAGAAAGATGATTAAATATTGAACTCCACTGCATTAGATAAGATAAAACTGCATGATAAGGTCACGTACGATACTGGCAAAAACTTGGCTCTTGCCATGAAGCTGCCCATGTATCCAGCAGCAGCCTGTCTCAGGACGGGGGGCTGGTTGGGGGCTTGTAACATCTTCCATAAGTGATCCAAAAAAGCTTCAGCCAAACCCTGAAAAAAAAAAAGAAAAATTGAAATCGCATCATATGACCCCTTTAAAGGAAAGACTACGATATAAGTCAGCCCTGAATTAAGGCTTAATTTGATTCCTCATACAAAACTGTTATGTAAATATAAGTTGTATCAACTACTTTTATGATGCTTTTGGAAGCTTGAAAGCTCCAGTCCTCATTCACTGCATGCAAAAGCATGACTACAGTACTTTCGTCTAGATTTCACTGAAGACAGACTTCAAGTTGTACATGTTTGGAACGACATGAGGGTGAGTATATGATGACTTTCCATTTCTGGATGAACTATCCCTTTAAATTTGTCCCACTGAGTATGTTCTGCGTTCTATGCGTTTGGCTTTCTGTTGTTTTCGGAAGTGTTTTGGACTCACCATGTCAAAGAGGCAGTCATCCTGTGATGCTCCATTAGCATCTTGCTGAGCTCCACTTTCCACTTCTTCAATCTCACTCCGTGGTGCACTAACCTAAAAGTCAAAAACAGCCATCAAACATCTGCACAGTTGCAAATATATCAGTACAGTTACTAAACACAAGTCACTTACGTCTAGTGTGAGCATCTTGCTGATGATGAGCTCTAAGATGTCTCTCCTCAAGTCAGGGATGTAGACGGAAACTCTCAACAGGTTGTGCACGTAACACTCCTGTGTGGACAGGCAACACGGCCTCAGTACAATCACATTCACACATGTAATGACGTTACTCCAGTACTGGATGTAAATGCTGTGGAGAACCTCTCCACATAACTCACAAGTGTTCTGGAGGATTTCTGCACAAAAGGGAACTTATCAGAAAGGATTGGCATCAGGAATCGACTGGTTCTGAAAGAACAAGAAAAGTGTTTATTAGTGACTGCTAAACTTCATGCTAAACTAAATCAATAAAATCAATAACTCCGCTATGCTTTTGGAGGTTTTGACACTTACGATGGAACATATCTTGCAATCAGCTGCATCAGCTGCAGACACTGATCAAATGTCCTCGGGAGATCTGTGTGAATTTAAAAATAATGAATAATGGTGTAAGGTATAAGGAATATTAGTGGCATATTGATATGATTATATTGATCGATGACAGGAATGGTTAATGGCTGATATACAATCAATGACAGCAAAATAAGACATACACTACCATTCAAAAGTTTGGTGTCAGTAAGATCTTTTAATGTTTTTTTTAAAGAAATATAGTATGCTCACCGAAGCCACATTTATTTAAACAAAACATTAAAACAGTAATATTGTGAAATATTATTATAATTCTGAACAACTGTTTTCTATTTTAATAAATTTTAAAATGTAATTTATTCCTGTGGTGGCAAAGCTGCCATTACTCCAGTCTTCAGTGTCACATGATCCTTCAGAAATCATTCTAATTTGCTGATCTGGTGATCATGAAAAAATATTTCTTATTATTATCAATGTTGAAAGCAGTTTTTTTTTTTTTTTTTTGTGAAAACCATGATACACCACCATTAAAAAGTATGAGGTAAGAAAATAAAGAAATTAATGCTTTTTCAATGCAGCAAAAGTGATCAAATTGACACTGAAGACTGGCGTAATGACTGTTGAAAATTCAGCTTTACCATCACAGAAATAAATTACATTTTAAAATAT